AATAATAATAATATATTTTTATTATTGTTAATATTTTATATTCTTTTTTTAAGCTACACACATATTTTGCCTAACATATTAAAATCTTGGTATTTCTTGACAGAAAAAATTTCATTCTAATTTCAAAAAGGAAATTTGTTGATAATTATTTCTCGTCTCTGTACTTTTGAAAATATTTAATTCAGTGTTCAACTGAAGCTTGAGTTGACCCAGGGTGTTAGCCATTCCTAACCAAACCCAATACTCTTGTGGTGAAAGGTGAGCTCTTGTGGATGGTGAAGCCCGTCGCTGACCTACCGCCTTATAAAAGGCTTTTCCCCAACCAAGCATCTCCCACCAGCGGAGCACCACTCCGTGACAAACTCCCGACCAGTCTCCTCTCGAGTGAGGTAGTGTAATGCATGCATGGGTAAGTGTGTGTATGTAAGGGGTGACTATAGGACAAGGAGGAGGAAGAAAAGATCGTGCGTGGTCCGTGACCCGTTGGTGAGGGTACTACTTTGGTATTCGCGTGGTGTTGATCGGAGAAACCACCGCTCAGAGCAGCCGCCCGTTTGAATTCTCCTCCAGACAGCGACATAACTCGACCTATCTATCTAGCTAGTGTCGAAAATCTGGCCACCGTCGCGACTCGCATCCCAGAGCTGCCAGTCAGAGGCCCTGCGGTGACATCACTTGATGCCCCGAGCCACCTCTTCCGGTCACTTTCCAGTCACGAAGCTACTTGTACAAATCAGATACTTTTATCATTCTTGCATTGTTTGATTAGCTTATGCAGTTCCTTTCTCCAAAGGAGATACTCAAATGATTCTTTAAAGTGAAAATGATTTAGCACACAAGGCTTTGCACACAAACAAATTAATTCTTAAGAATGCTGTAAAATGACCAAAACATGCAAACTATCTTCCAATTTGTAATAATGTGAACATGTTTTCAAATGAATAAAATACTTTGAGCAATAAAAAATAAATATACTTTATATACTCAGTGTGCAAGTATGCTAGGACCAAATTAAAGAATACGTTTCAGTTAGATGAAAAATACTCATAAGTTACAAAATGAAATATGTTTTGGTTGTATCGTTTGGGTTTTTGAAAATTTGTTTCTCATAACCCTAAATCTGCTTCATTTTGACCTTCAGGTCACAGGACCATGAAGTTCTCATTATACATTTTTATTGATGTATAAATAAGTAGTCTTTGTATAGCAATCCAAAAGCACTGCAAAGTAATAATTTACGTGGAAAATACCCACAACCTTTGTCACGTACGGACACACATGTCTGACGGCACCTGCCAGAGAACCACAGGGAACTAGCTGCCTACAATACGGCGCACCCTTCAATTTGTAACGCTGCGCCAGGGCTACATGTGCATCTAGGAAACACTATCCAATATCTTTGCCCCAGCCCAGCGACGTTTCCACCTCGTTCCTACCGCGCTGCCCCCTCGCTGTGGGTCGCGGAAGCTGTGGCGCCATATCAGTCGCCTTGTCGCAACGTACCAAATATCAGCCACGTGCATTTCATGCTCATGGACAGCGCTGGCGGAGGAGACGCCGGGCTCAACAATGGCAAACCTAGGGAGTGGAAGGGAAGGGGTGCCGTGTCGTGGGCGGCCACTTGTGAACCCCTTAGACCACTTGCGGTAAACTTGTGAACCCCGTTGACAGGCTAGCTGTGGAAACGCATCGGCGGAAACAGCGAGATGACGCAGTTCCGTCAGCCGGCCCAGAAGGTAATATAAACGGACCCCGGACCTAAACTCCTTCTTCTGATTCTTGGGTGCGTCGGTAGGAAGTCGTGTGGGTTGTGCGCGACGCTGCAATTTAATGCATTGGCTACTGAGGCAGGGAACTGAAGCCGGCGTGCTACGTAGAGATGGGAGGTGAGGTATACTCACTTGTATACTCACGTAGGCTACTGGTGCATCACACCGATTAGATATCTAATTACCAGGCCAGCGGTTGTGGTGATCAGAAACATTCCTTCTGGTAACGGGTCAATATTGTTTATTGCAATTATTGCACATAGTATTCAGGTGTTGGAGCATAATTCAAATAGATACTCAATAAATTACAAACCGTTCACGTCTGTGATTTATTGCCCCGGCAAACAGGCCACACCTTGAAGATAGTGGCGGATGATTCGATCATATTTTTTGCCACTACAAAAGTAAAATTGCAAATTGTCTAATTGATTATAAAATTGTCTTGTTGATGAGAATGTTAAGACTTACTGCGTGAACTATCATTTTCTTGTTTCTTCAAATCATCAAAATCATGATTTTTGTCCCTAGCCTAATCATCGTAACATGTAACATCTTTCGTTTTGGTCCTCCTGACATGCTGCAACATTCTCTGGTTTTTTAGGCCCCTCTGAAAATGTTGCGTGTTGTTCTATGACGCCGCGCAGCTTAAGAACCTTCTCTTTTGTGTCACCACCACTTGTTAATGGACCTTCTTTAAAAGTTCTCTCATTTTTTAACATAAAATACTTGAAATTGGTTCAGTTTCGTGTTCGTGAGGTCGAGTTGCGAACAGCGAACACATACATCTGTGACCCTGTGAGGCAAATTTCCAAGATTTTGCTAAAGAAATATTTTCTATTATCCCTTTTTGTGTTTTTAGGCAGAATGCGTACGTCTATCAATGGCGTGGCGGCGGTTTGTTGCAAGTTAAGAAAGGCGTCATATTTGTCCGACCTATCACTTACATTTTACCTATTCAAAATATTTCTTGAACGAGGAAAACTACAGCATGCGATTTGGGCGCACTAGCGATTTGAGCGCAACAAGATTTTAATCATTGTCTAAGACAACTTTTACATTGATAACGGAAGATACAATTGTGAAACTAAGAAATTTAAAAATAAATATTTCTAGCAAAGAAAACAGTAATTTATGAAATCAAATGGACAGTGTCGGTATTATGAGCCAAGTTAATAGGCGCGGACTCGCCGAACAAAACCTTTACAGTAGCACGCTGCTCCCAGCCAATTCCCAATATCCCCACACTTCCAACGCCTCGCATGAGCCAGCTATTCTCGCAGTTGTTCACGAGACAACCCATTCTAAAAACATTTTTTCTTTTGCTTAAGCAGACACAAAACTAAATTCGCCCACAAAAATTGCGCTGGTGGTATGCACAAATTAAACAAGTCGATTTATTGAAAGTTTAATTCTTTCTACTTTTCCCGATGTTTTTTCTGGGGAGGGCGCCATCCTAGAGCTCTTAAAGACCAGCAGTCACTACATCAATGTGATTTTTCTTTTTATTTCCTTCTCTTGCAAAACGCTGATTTGCACTCGCCGGCCGTCGATCTCGCATCGTGTAACAAAATCTTGGCATTTATTATCTACGTGACATTTCACTGTATACAATACCTCTTTATCAGCCCATTCAAAAACATCGGTCAGAATTACCGTCCGTCAATTCTTGGTGGATGTCGAAAATACGACCGCGAAAATCGTAATTATGTATTATAGACACTTGCGATATTTTTACCATTTCACAGCTGACTTTTCCTCATTTATTTGTTCCAGCTGACCCCTGCATGTTTCCCTATATGCTCCTTGATATATTGCTCTCATGTGTTCGCTACATGACTCTAACATAGTCAACCAGGAAAAAACCAAATGTAAATGATATATAAGAATAAATTGAAAATGAGAACCAACCGAAGTGCCTGGAACATTCAAACTGTGAAATTAACGTTGCACAGTGTAAGTAAAGTAA